AAGTACATGAACTATTTCTGGAAATACACTCATTTGCATATCAATCTGGTTTTCCCATGAGACCCAACTGAAACTCTCGTTTATGATATTCCTCAACTGAATATATTTCACAAAGGTTACCCGTGTTTTAGTTAGTGCGATTTTCAAGATATCACAGTATATTTTCACAACGGAATCTACTCAAGAAGTTGCTACAACTGCCAAAAGTTTTGAGTAACCTTGTGATTGGTTCCTTTCATGAATACATAAACGTTATTTCTGTTTCCGTACCTTTGAAGCCATCAGTACTCATTCGCTCTTTGTGGCTGTATTTCTAAATGGAAGCAGAAATTTTGTCAGTCCTCGTGTTGTACGGTTGTACGACTGATGGTTTGCTGTTAACCAGCAGATATTAACTTTTAATGAAATCATATATAGATAACATGACGGACTGTCTGACTCAAAACAGTTTGTCTCACAGTTTCCGAATCAACTCCCTCAACAAGACACTATGAGTGACATAAATGTGCGTCGTCAATATCCGCAAAATTTCTCAGAACTATCTGATGGTGTTGAATAGTTAAAAGGCACTACTAAGCCTCGGAACAGCGGAGCACGGAATAAAACATAACTGTAAAAAGAGATCGGATGAGCCAGATTTAAGGCGTGATTTGTAGAATAAGCTGTCTCAAATGACGGCGCCTTGCGCTCAGAAAAACACTGCAAAAAGATTGCTCACATATAAGTTCGCAAACTAAGCCTTACTTAAACTGCGTGAGTCTGAATATAAGCTGAAGCGCAAATAGAAGTTTGAAGTGACTGCTGGGTAGGGAGCATGTTGGAACTGTTTTCAGCGATGCATAAATTCAGCGCCATCTAGAACAAAACAAGTGGAAGGCAAGAGTGTCGACAATCCTTTCGATGTTTATTTTATTTTACTTCAATTGTTCAGGACAGCAAAGTTACATAGATGTCGATAAGTTATCATCTATGTTATTCTGCTTATGAAATTTGAAAATGCACACAAATGTATGAAGTCTGATAGCAACTAAATGATAATTAAAATACACAGTGGATGGTCTAGTGTCAATGGTGGCAAAGTTCGACATTAAAAGTGTTCATCTCTGCTTCGTCAGAATTGTGCTGCTGAATTCTTTCACTTAAGACTATGACTGTAAAACGGTCTCTGACTACAAGTCGAGTTCAGGTGAGTTACCCATGGGTGAGATGCGTGGAGTGTTGAGGTTGAGACCTCCTGACTCACTCTTTGTTGATTGACTAATGCGCATATTGAACTCCTTTGACTATGCTCATTCCTTGAGGATTCAAGTCAAATCATAATTTGTATTGGCTTTAATTTACGGAGTCTCTTTTTAGCAGGAAAAACGAAACAGTTGAGAAGGTTGTAAGTCCACAGTTCTACATGCGGCAATCCCAATGAGGCACTTAGGGGAGCACAAAGTTAGGGGTAGTTTGTAACTCAGTGCTGTGGTCCCTTATCGTGTCAACTAGTTGCATGGAGTTGTGATGCTTTTTTTAATCAAGAAGGGGAGCCAACTGAATGCAGTAATCACCAGGGTATCAGGCGTGACTTCAATTGTAGCACGGATCTTTGCGCTCTTTGTTTTTTGCCCTCCGATGACTTGTAACTCAAGAGCAGTGAGCAGGATAACGGTCTGATAAGTATCGCATTGTCCACATCTTCACAGTTGTTCATATGTTAGAATCTCGTCATTCCTATAAGTGACCCACTGCTTTTGTACTCCTGGGCTGCTAAGTCATATATGACTCGGTTGGAAGGTCGGATCTCCTTAACGAGCTCACTCAGCAGGGAATGTTATAAAAATTTGTAAGTATGATACAGTCGCAGACTTGCAAGCTTATCATACTAATCAAGAGTTCCTCAAAATCCTTCATACAAAAATTGCCGTCCAACAATTATGACACTAAGTCAATTCTATTTGTGATCTGTAAAATGATGAGACCAAAGCCTGGTGGTTAAGAATGCCCTGATATTGAGACAGCTTCTGACAAAAACCCGGTCTATCAGGAATATGCAAATTACATTCTTCCTTGGATGGACTGACAAATGCCGCCCTTGAGCATTCTACTTGCGCCAAAAGACTTGTAGTCATTGAACATATTACCTAAAATTCAGGGAGATTGTGTAGCGTTTTGTGCTCACTGAGTGTGGTATACGATTTTTTAAAACTGGGATCGCCTTTGCCGGAACGTGACACACATGATATCAAAATGGTATCTATACTTCTCAAGGTGTGTGTGTAAAAATCTACAGTGTGGCTGTTAATAATATGGTTGTGAGACGCGGCCTCTGTAAGCAGCGGAAATCATAGATCCTTAAATCTTCAATAACCGTTATCCCAGAATCGTAACTCATGCTGGCTGCCGCCAATGAATACGTAGCGAAACAGTTACAAAAAATTGTTCGGTTGTGCAAAGGGCCTTCGGTTTATCATTAGAGGCTACCTTTGTTCATGCATTTGGCATGCCAAATTACCTGTTACTGTTACCCGCGTCTTATCCAGTGTAGTGCAGGTAGAGGGCTGATTGATATCCAACTTGGAACAATGGTATAAAAGCAAATACGGGTACTGTCAGTGTGACTAGACTTCCAGTATGAGAGTTGCGTAACCACCCTGTGCACAATTGAAGACGCTGCAAGATAAGGTTGCCAATAATGCTTTGTGGTGTTTTCCTTGTCTCAAAGAGTGTCTGGAGACACGGGATTATGGGATTAATTGTAATAGGTTAGAATTGGGTTTCTTTTCCTTTCCTTTTTGTTCCTTGTTCCACGTAAGACTTTCAAATGAATTATGCTTGTGCGGCAGAGAAGTACTAGTAATTTTCACTGATACTTTGTTGCTGATTATGATGATAACGGTTATGACAGTGTCGCACTGTATAAGAATTGTTAACATTTTGACAGCCAGCCACATCTGTCTGTGTAGCAAACGACAATAAGATGAAAAAAAGTTATTACAGGTAGTTAGAATAGTAATCTTAATCGTTTCAAACTAACTTTCATTGGTTGAATTTCGTTTTGGAAGATACCCACGGGTTGTAGTGACCAGTCAAAAACCATGTCCCAAATTTCACTTAGCAAGCGGGAAGTAAAGCCCGCTTTTCCATTGGCGAGTTGGAGGCATTTCAGACAGAATGTGCAGCCCTGTTTACGAAGGACCCAAAATAAAAACGAGGCAGATGGCATGGCGTCAAGTTATCTTTTACGAAGAGAAATATACTCATAAACAGAATGCGAAGTTAGCAGATAAATCAAAATAACCTAAAACATCACTGCAATCAGTCTTTCACATGGAAATTTTCGAGTGAATCCAAACCCCTCTCGGTTTTATTTACTATGTTTTCTATTCCTTGGTATATTTTGAGGTGCCTTAATGATCGGAAAATGTCTAACCAATCCAGAATGATTCAAGGATGGTGAGGTCATTTTGACTTAGGTTCATATTTGAATGTTTTTAGTGAATTGACAGAAAGCTCATCGTCACAGCGCTTCGTTGTACAGTTAGCCACTAAAGATGCTACTGGATTAGTGATGAAAAGTTTCCAAACCCTCTGGGTACCTCAGAAATCATGTAAACAACTGGCTATTCAACATGGGCCACCACTATTCTCTTCGAAGGCAAATCAACTTGGATTTAAAATGCTAAATCTCATTGGTCGCTGGAGCGTCTAGCCTGCTGGCAGGCCATCAAACAACAACATCAACCACATTTTCTGCTGATGCCCATGGAGACAGGCGATAGTACTTCGGATTGATAAACTAAGGCACAGTTTATAACACCACCAGATGAAAAATTGCTGTTGAGGTTTCCTACTTTGAGTCTGGTCATGAAAGGCCACAATGCACGTATAGTTTAGGAACTCAACCCTTGCATGTGTTGTGTTTTCAAACCCAATTCCTTCGGCCAACAGCCAATGGGGTGGGAGGGGGTTGACGCATGAATAAACGGTTGCTAACCAATATTTCTCTTTTTTCTTTTTCAAAGGCCGTAACTGGGATTAGGTTCTACTTTTCGGTGAACAGACTGTTAGTCTGCGAGTTAAAAACCCAAACTGTTTAAAAATACCCTTATCAAACGGAAAGAGGAATACTAAATGGAGTTTATCTTTGTTGCTGATTATTCTGCAAAGTGATGTTTTTTTCAAGTTTAGTAATATTTCTGCTCTTGCCAATATTTCCGACTGCGTTGATCTTGTTGATATGACACTGACGTAGTAGGTGCAGTTGAATGCTTCTATTCACAACTGTAATGGCCAGTTAGTTCTTTAGCCCATCTTGGTTTATCAAAAGTAGGATTCCTCAGGAGACCTGAAAAAGCCGCATTTGAGATAAGAACTCTTTAGAAAGCGGACAGGTACCGCATCAGTTCAACATGACTGAGTCACATCCACTTAGAGAGCGTTCTACTAAATTAGTTAATGAAATGCTACTGTTTACGTAAGCCTTGTTCTTTTTGTTACCGATTTGGACACAGCGGAGAATGGACTGAATCTTGATAAATTTGACTGCTGGGCGTCCAACTCAGCCATGAAGTGTTATGTCAAATGTTTTGTCCTGTTCGTTCCTGGTCTCAGCGCATACCTTCAGCCACATTTAATATGGGGCAAGTTAAATTACTGGACGATAGAAAATCATATTTTTGCAAGCAATATAATGTTCGTCCTGCTAATTAGAAAGTAGGTAAAATTCACAGCAACTGGTTCATTTTTTGTACCGTATTTTTGAATTCACCTGACTTCAAAAAAGCAGTGTGCGATAAATTCACTACCACGACCTCTGGAGACAACCTGATTGAAGAACATAGTGGAATTATCTGGCGCTCATGTAACCAGTTCGAAATCGTTGCAAAACTTTTGTCACCTGTTACAAAGCTGGTAGGCGAATAAAATAGTGTGTGTGTGTATCATATTTCTGGTAACCGACCGGATTCAATGAAGCATTCATCATGACCTGTGTTTTATTTTGTTCTTCTTTACAGGCAGTCAAGAGTCAACTGTTGATCGATGAACTTTTCCAAGGAGTACCCATGCTACTTACTAGTACTTCCTCACGAGTATCGTTCCGCGTGGCTCAAGAACTAATGGTGTTAGACAAAATATCGGATGAACGAGAGCTCAACTACGAGACGCTGGATAAATACCTTGAAGATGTACTCCAGAAACGCGTTAAAATCGGTCTAGATGATGCTGGTTTCCAGCTGGGGCAGATCTATTTACTCAACGTAGGTTATTTTCTATCCCGAAACGGGTCCAGTCATGGAATACTAGAGTAGCGCTACTATTGTTCGGCTTGGAAACACTTTAAACAAGCCTGGAAAGACCATAAAGACTGGCGTTGTAGATATCAGATGGGAGCAATGTTGTACGATAACCTTGTCGATGCGGACGAACTAAAAAACTATGGGAACCCACAGGTAGGTGTGGATGCTGAATATGGTTTCGCGATAGACAGAGGGCTGCAAAATATTCGAGGAAATTCTTAAACTCCCTTTCGGACCGGACGAACCTGCCGGTCAGCGCGAGTTGGTATATGCGGCTGCATTTAATTTGGGCAGGGCGTATTATCAAGGTTATGGCTGTTACCCATCCATCGATAAGGCAATTGAGTAAGTGCAACAATTTTCCAGGGTTTGCAATATGAGCGAAAATTGCTCTGAATATTTTGCAGACCCGGGCTTACAATTATATTCCTGGCGGGATCACCCCTAAAAGAAGCCTTTCAAGAATTTTTCCAGGCTCATTTAGGAGAAACACTACTTCTCAGAAGAGATCACATGTGGTCACGTGCCTGGGATGGATTTTCCAGTTTTATTAATAATTGTGGATCAAAAGTTAACTTCATTTGCAGCCTCATCCTGTGAAAGAAGCAACTATGTGCTGAACAACCGGTACACTGTGTAACACTTTCATCCCCATGGAGAATAACCAACAATCAACACCCGCTTTCAACCGCTTTCCACTCAACACGGTCTCACTAGCTGTACGGATCCGGCCTTCGACGGCCACAGCCGGTAGAATATCTCAGCTGATTGTGACTGGTGTGGAAGTGGGGATCGACTGTGTGCATACCAAAACTAAGAGCTCTTTCAGTATAATCAGTCAAGGCATTCGACTTCATTTATTTTGTTCCATATCATACAAAATGTAGAACAAATTAGAATTGTCTTTTAACTTCTTTGCAACTCTATACTATGGGCCGGCAAGACAGTTAGATTTTTTGTTAACCTCTTTTAAAGCTAACTTGAGACTCTGTTTCTGTCAACAAGGAAAGCCGTCTTAGACATCCTGAAACAGAAGAAATTTCGACAGAGGAGATAGTTCCACTGTTTTGCAAGCATACAGTATAATTCACGAAGCCGAGCCTTCCAAGTTATGTGGCGTCGCCGTCTAAAATACAGTATGCCTATCATCCATAGGGCTAAATTTGCTGTTTATGTGTGAGGCTTGAGAGTAGGAAACCGATAGATAATTGCCAGCCCATTGTACCGATGACTTAAGCGGTCTCTGCGATCAAAATAAAATCAGGACCTCCAAATGTCATGCTGCCTTCGCAGGTTTTTCCCTTCTCGAAGCTCATTTCGGAGGGCCACTGAATTAAAAAACGATCAAACCACCAGTGCACAAAGTTCTTTCCTTTTAACTTTCCTAGTGTTGATTATAACGTATTTTTGAGCTAATAGAATGGCTTCATTCAGTATATTAATCCAGCAAATTAGTTTTTTGTCAGATTGTTTTAGGGTTTTCGCATGTGAAGGCGAGGAAATGTGACATAAACCTCGGGAAATGTTTTGTACCCGTATTTCTTTCGTGCCACGGGCAATCATGATAAATGAATACAATTCGCAACTGACTTCTTGGCACATAATACGTGCGAAAATGGTTAAGAAACCAACATGAAACAATAGCCGATGTCGGTGGACTTAGTGTGGTTAAGTTGTAATGCTAGGGCAAAATAACAGATGAAGTAAAGTGCGGAAGACTATAGAACTAGGCACGTCGTCTCTGTGCTTTTAGCACATCTTTACCACAAATGACTGAGTTGGCACGGCCGTGTCCTTTGAAGGTCAATGCATCGCCTACTAGGAACAGTACTGTCCCCCGTATCTCCTTCAGAATGGCGCAACCTGAGAGGCAGCCAATGGGGGTCGATGGCGTTCGTGCTGGCTTCTCTTTTCCAGATTGTCTGATTGAGCTCCAGAGGATGTAGCCACCTTGCAGTTGTTTTGGTAAACCAACATCAAGTTGTTCTTTTGTCCACACTTCTTTTTTCCACTTTAATTCTTTGAATATGATGAATTTAATTTTTGGCTTACAAGAGTGAAGCAACAGTGTGAAAATTAGTGCTGCCGTCTCCTATGAAGATGGTGACCGCACTGACAGCGACAAATGATTTCTGCTTTGCCATCTTAGCGATTAGAATACTCCTAAAAAGAAACGAAATAAGTAACTGTTCCCGTCTGGATATGAACAGCCTGGCAATATCTCAGAGTACGTGCCTCTTATTGTCGCATAGCAGTTATGCTTCACGAATTATTATTCTTTGTGATTATCCGCTTCTTCTATAATCAAGTTCATGTTCTCATTCTGTGTGTGTCTGAAGAGTCATTCTCCAAAGGCACATCTAGTGGAATCTGCAGCCAGTTGACTGTCGTACTTTCACTGCACATTTTCGAAAATCGGTTTGTCAAACTCCCTATCAACCAGAGTTTTCCTCTCAGTAGAATATAACATAGAACTGCTTTCAATCACTTCAAGTCTCAGAATTTTGCACCAACAGTGTTAAGGCTGGATAATCATCACCAAGTTATTAATCTTGGTAAGTGCAGATGCAATCTGAATACATTCCTCTAACTTCCCAATATGGGTCCGAAAATAGCTGCTATGGTAAACTGTCAACTCGTAATGACAAACAATAGATCGGTTTATTTTGTGACTTTTTGCCTCCTATGATTAGGTCAAATGGTCGCACTTAAATTCACTCATGAACACGTACATGCGCTCTGAACAGTGTCACCGGAGTTCATTAATTGCAGCGAGTCACTCTGTACAATTCGCTACAATAACGGTTAGCCGCTGCATTTACTGTCATCTATTTTCCGGACCAAACAATTGTAGGTGGGCAGATCTCCGAAATGTGATTGTGGTCTTACTTGTTCTACCACGATTCACAAAAATCGAAATTATCTTTGCGCACTGTGCGCGCAACAAGAATATCACATTTGTCAACCTGGTAGCACATCAACTGGTGGATCTTTTTGTCGCATTAAAACTACTCCATTCAGCTGTCGTTTCATTATTCTCAGTTGTCCTGCGACAAAATGTCTGTTATAATGTCTGCCGAAATCTCGCACAACCGTACGGTGCCAGTGTTCGCCGGTGATCTATGGAAACGCTGGTAAAATCAGGCCTATTGAAAATACATGTTAAATTTGCCTATGGAATGTGGCGTAGTGTTAGCTCAAATTTTTGCCACAAACGCTTTTTGTTTCCCAAGATACTTCAAGATTGCTGCGAACAACGGGGATCCAAAGGCTTCTATATTGGCACAAACTGCCCTTGGTTATATTTACTCCGAGCCTGAAAAACGTGATCTTGACCAGGCATTTTACTGGCATTCTGAAGCCTGCGGAAATGGAAGTGTTGAATCTCAAGGTGAGAAAAGTTTCTGTGGCGTGTAAATTACTTTATCTTGGGTCGCAGTGTATTTCTTATATTACTGCATACGATAAAACAGTCTCATCGTTCCTGTTTGCGAATTCGGCATTCTTATAACTACCAAGTAACATGTTGTAACCAGAATATCTACGAACATTCTGAATGAGATTAACATGGACAAACCTTGGAACAACTTCAGCTGCAAACGACTAACGAGACTGTCTTTTCTGTACAAAGTAGCACTACAAAAGAAGTGTTCAGATGCGTGTCCAATGGATAGACTTACAAGAGGTTTGTGTGTCTTCCTGCATCTTCACAGCTCAATTCTCGGTCCCCGAGTAAATCTCGTTTATATCAGTGTCATGTTACACCAAGTTGCTTCACACCTAATGCTCTCTATCCTACAAAACGTTACGTGGCACAAGACCTTTTCCATCTATTGTCTCTAGGGAATCAGTCAAGTTAGGACTTTGCACCACCAGTTACTTCGAAAACGTTTACCGTTAATATTGGCGAAGGCCATCTGCTGTCACACTGTTATAAAAATGTTTCACTGTCCTTCACTGACGGTGACATATTCCGGCGCAATCTCAGAGAAGACGAACATGGAGTCGCAACTTAGTATGCAATTCGAATTATGCCTGGCAATTTTAAGCGAGCTTATGAAGGCTTTGAACGTCAGTCCTCATTTAAATCTATTCGTACTTTTGTATTCGACCACATATAGGATGCCAGATACAAACCTACGGCTAATGATTCCAATATACCAAGGAACTACGCGAGCGATCACTACCAACAAGCTCACATATGGGTACTTGAAATGGCCATACTACAACTGTCCAGCTGGTTTTAAGCGTCCGTGACTAGGAAGTCCTGATAAGCAGGTCAGTTTCTCGAGGGTAGTTAGTCGAGGCTTCAGACAAACTGAATGACATCACTCAGTTGTAAACACTTCCGCCCAATCAGATGCGATAATTTGTGTGCTATCACCTTGTCCTGTGGGTATAGTGGTAACATGATCCTCTCGCATGTCAGATATAAGGGATCCAAGCACGTGCATGGCCAAGGTTAAGAACTACTGACGAGCTCTAGCTCTTGTGAACACTGCTCTTCTGTCTGGTATTGATACAGCAGAATAATCGTCCCAGGACAGAAGGACATTTCACATAAGAATGACGTGAAAATGTGTCGTGACTTAGGCTGTTCTCCCCTGGGATCTAATGGTCGCGGAATTCGAAGAATCAAGTTTTTGTTCCAAAGAATGCTGAATAGCGCGAATCATTCAAAAACCAAACACACACATCCCTCAACTGCCACTTTATTCCTGAAAAATCAACTAAAATCGCCCATCTGCGCAATCATCTCGAATCTCTTCGAAACGTCATGTTTTTGTTGTAATCGGAATATTCACAGTCTGCGCTCTAATAAACCATCTTTGTGAATTCATGGAAAATCGATTTGGCATCGGTTTTTGGCAGCGAAGACTAGGAACAGAATCACTGGTAAATATGTTGCGAAAAAACGCCGATACGACTTTCAATGATGGTACTATCAGCGGCAATTTAAACATGCGTAATGCTACAAAAATAAACCCCAGAATATTGCGGTTTAAGGCGAGGAGTTATATTTACTGACTCTGGAAACTACGCTCACTTGATGAATCGCAAACAAGACGGAACCGTTGATTGGCTGTCTGTGGAGTTCTTCCAGTCATTCTGTTACGTTTACTTCTGGATTCTCCCAAGTTCCCTTGGGTCAGATCAAATTGATTTTTCTCCGCCAGGAACCTATTTTGTGTCATGGTATTCTTGATTTTACTAATTTCACGCTGAGTCACCACTTACGCAATGTCTTCATTTATACAGAATCAACCTGGGGAAGACCGGGTAACCGACTGCTACCTAAACAGTTTTCGTTCTTCAACAAATGCACTCATTAGCAAATCGATTTGGTTTTCACGGGAGGCTCAACTGAATCTCTCGTTCATGGTATTCCTTAAATGAGTCTACTGCACAAAGGCTGCCTGATGTTTCAGTTGGTACGATATTTGAGATATCGCAGTGTTTTTTCATAAAGATTACTCATAAACGAGATATTCCGTTGAGTCTCCCGTGACAACCAAGTTGATTTGCAGATGAATGTATTTATTGAAATCAATCCAATTTGGGATCAAGTAGAGCATAATGTTAACGGAAATTGGGGAACACCTGATGAGCCCCAGTAAGGGAAAGGATGGTCTTGAGCTGTCGAAGAGTTTCCAGAAACCTTGTGAGTAGCTTCCATTAATGTTGTATGTCTCCAACTGTATAGACACCGCGAAGGGGGCCATTGGCATTTCGGACACGAACTCTTTGTTATCGCCTCTCTCATGAGTTCGTAGCCTGCGCCGTGCCTGTTACAGATTACTCTGAACCTAGCCTGGAATGCAAGGCGGAGGCAATAACACTTTTACAGTCAGATAAGATTTCTAAACAAAATGCTACTCACTAGTTAGGAGGTGAGTTTCTGTGGATTTGAAGTGGCCAATCGGCGAAGTGTAAAATGTCAGCTAGATGGGAATTTGAAAGTTCCTTCATGTGGTAAATTGATGAAATGAAAACGAACTTGACAGCAGCTTGTTAACAGTAGAAGGTGGTCTGTAGAAGCAGCAAAGTGATCAGTTCAGATATCCGAAAACGATTATTTATTTTAATGTCGAAATGTTTTGGAAACACAATTATCGAATTTTAGTCGCAAGCGGGCATTGGTAACATATTTATTTCTGGGCGGTAGGTACGTATTGCGGCTTTCAGTAAAGCATTTATAAGTTTGTAAGCAGCGATTTTCTCCCCTCCTAGACAGTCACTTTCTATATTTGGTTTGTAGCTGAGACTAATGGTGGATAGCACCTAGTGTTCGTATACAACAGGCCTCCTTTAGTATGGCTGGTTGTCTTTATATGGTATACAGGATATTATACCAATTACTACTCATCTTCCTACAGATATGCAGAATGTGCCCATTTCTTTTGTAGCCGCGCTTGGAGTAATGTATCTGTATGGGCTAGGAGTAAAACAAGACTGGTCCAGTGCGCTCCTTTGCCTCTCTGAGGCCGCAGACCGTGGAAGCCTATATGCTAGAGCTTCACTAGCCTACTTCTACTACAAACGCAAAATGTACACGAATGCAGCATTTGTCGCAAGCAAGTGAGTTTCCACTTGACCTTTATCAGGAAGCTGGGGACCTGAATTTTTGCAATTCAGGCCGCCAGTAAAGACGTCACTTGAGCTGTCTGGAGGTTTCTTCGTAAACTAACTTCCTGTGTGAAGTTTTGTATACAGATAACTAAGGGTTTCAATAACTAAGCCTTTTAGTAAAAGGTACTCTGAGATTCTCTTGATTCCTTGTCATTTGTTTGATATTGGAGTGAATTCTCAAGTAATAAAATGTCAAAATAACACAATCTTGGTTTCGCACTGGTTGATTTGGTCCCACTAAACATTCTATTTATAAATGTGTTACAGTCAGTGCTGTAGCCATGGTTCAGAAAGCAAGACCAACACTCAGAGAACTAAACCATCATGATGTAAAAATATGCCACTAGGTATGGGCCGGAAAACAGTTTGGTGAGAATACTCGTCGTAACAATATAGATCGCAAATTAGTCAGTTTTCAGTAAACTGGTAGAGGAAACCACATAGTACTTTGTACCTCCAAACATGAGTCTGTAAAAGACGGACATTTCGCCACATTTGGTTACCGTAACAGCATCATAACACTATCAAGGACACTCGCTCATGGGCAAATTTTATGATAAAACGCAATGGGGAAATACGCAAGTGAGAAGAGTTGAGAGGAGTTACTTAAACCTTGTGTTGTTTCAGGTGGAGAAAAACCAAAGATGAGTAAAACGTAAAGCACAAGCAGCAAAATGGCCATTAATCTGTTTGCCTTAAGAGGAAGGCGCGTCAGCTGATGTACTGGATAGTTTTACACACTTCTAGCTCCAAGACGGGACGTAAACATCCAACTAAATTTTGCCTGCCATTTTTTTAACTAAACCTAATTTTGCAGTTCTTGACAGGTATCTATATTAAAAATGAACAGGAAGTACGGCAAACTTCAGGCTGTGTAACAGATACGCATATTGAAATTTGGTTTGAACACTTTTGTTTGCTCAAGCCATCGATGTCAACTCTGATGGTCCCGGGGTTACCCAGGGAAGTGAAGATCATTGATTTGTTTGTTCTGTTGGATCATTCTTTAGGGTACCAGCACTGGGAAAGGCTTCAAACTTGGCGGAGTGGAAATCAATCTACCTGTGTAATCTGCACAGAGGATTTGCAGTTCTCATACATTCACATTTAACTGTTCTGCTAAACATACTCCAGCCCTTGCCGTTCTTTATGCAGTAGTTTGTAGATTTTCTGAAGTAGACACATGTTAAGACATCCAGGAGCTATTATCCATTATCATCACAAGAGCAGGATCTGAGGTCGAAAGACGAGACATCGTATGCAGCATTTTTACCGCCCGGTATTTACCCCTGCTCGGTTTTAGCAACACAATGCTTAGCGGTTGAAATCCGAATCAAATATTTTGCATCATGGAAAACAGACAACAATAATTGTTTCCCGCTCACTGTAGTTCATTCATTAGCCTGACCTGTACAAAGCATCACAACGTGGACTCAATTAGTAACCACTTACATCACATGCTCTATAACACGGAAAAAGTAGACCTTTTTGCTTGCTATACCATATTTTGCGAGAGTATGGAGCAGTGAAACACTCCCAAATTAACACTTGAAAGTTGCCATCTACACTAAAAGCTTGATTACAGACTAAATCTTCACGAAATGAAAAACTTTTGTGGTGCAATGCGATGCACTGTAGTATCCTTTAGTTGGTGCTGTAGAAATGGTCCGTAGTTCAGATAGTGGGTTTCACAGCAGATGCTTTAATGCAGCATAATTCAAACCAGACTAACGTACTTTCCACGAACTTTAGGACAATTACAGGGATTTATCTTCGTTTACAAGAGGTATGTTTGGTCAAAGTATCTAGGAAACCAGAGTGTAACTAGGTAATTTTCCGCAAATGAACCGACTAAGTTCATCCAACGAACAATGTCCGATTTAACGTTTTAAATCCACTTTTTTAGCTTCAATTTAGCTTATGTTCCACGGAACTGACCTAGATTTCATCCGGTTTCAATTGATGACAGATATAAGCGCCTGGAATTGAAGTTCTCTGTTTCCCAACGTGTTACGAGGGGACAAACGTATACGTGAAGCGCCGTGAGCAAGGACTGGCGCACTTGTTGTGAATCCATTCTGAGACAGCCGACATTCATCCAGTGAACATTTTAGCTTCCCGTCTTCATGTTGGCGTACAACTCCCGAACTGAACCAGTAGCCATGGAAACATGTAGTAAACAAATCCCATCAATAAACTCTCTGTTAAGAATCCGTCTTAAAGTAAAATCGATGAGAGAGAATAGTACGCAGTGGCTCTAACCGGCCAATTAAGGAATTGCATGGTTTAATAAGTTTAAAAGTTTGAGATTATCCTCAGGTTTTTCATGTGGCCATTGAAATAGCTATTAACTTATCACCCAAAATGCAGGGGCTCTTTATGTTGTACGGAGAAACCAGGATTTTTACTGTTGTGCAATAGGAAAGTAGACAAATGTGCGGTGCTGGTAAAACAGAAACAACACCTCACTTTGTATGCTGTGTGGTGACAAAACCTATCGTATATGTGTATATTTCGATCCGAGGTAGAGTAGTATCGGTGGAAAAGTATGAATCATGTAGTTACTTATAATATAAAAAAAGACTAAACGTCTCTTAGAGGTTTTCAGTTAGGAGCTTTCACCCCGCAGTTGAAGTTGCCCCGTAAGGTTGACCGGCTGTTCTAGTGACGATGAGGATTTACTCCTAGTGTGAATTATTTGTCCTTGTAAAGCTGCTGTCAGCTTTTTGAGAGTATCAGAAGCTTTGCAAATTTCCCAATCCAGGTTTGATCCTGGCAGTAAAGCCGACGTATACCGGAGAGCCGAAGAGCACTATACAGCCCTCGCGTCCTTATTGATAATCATCAGTAGAAATTAGTTTGAGAACGAAAAAATAAACAAGCCTCGAAAATATGCATCTCCGTTTTACACGGCTGCTACAAGCGTAATGAGTTTCACACTAGGGTCCATTCGCTATGGATTCTGCATCCCAATACAAAAATATTGATAAGGAAATTCATAATTTACCTGGCTGCACGACGGAAATTAAAAAACTGCCGTTTTGGGTAGATTTAGTTAAATTTTTGAAACATGGATTGGTGTGTCAGACCATTTTGCTGCAGATTCGCGACTCGCAGAATAAATGTGTAAGTTGAGCAACTAGCTGGTGGAACATTTCAAGTTTTTTACATACAGACCTCAAGCGCAGTGAACACGCTGAAGCTATGTACTGAAATTTAGTATGAATGCAATGTGGAGGGCTAGCGTTGGTCACATGAAGGCTGAATTCAGCTGAGTTCGGAAGCAAAGGCCACCTTTTCTACGCGTTCCAGTCATGCTAAATTCGCTAGTTCAAAGGGGAACATCATTCGGGGACGCTAGAACCACCGACATCCTTTTGCATGGAAATTCTGTGACTTGATAATTACTTTCTGGCGTTCATCAAAGTGGTAATAAATGTAGAAAGATGGCGGATTTTAGTTGAAAATATCAATCCAAACTAAGAATAAACGGTTTCTATTTGGGGATATTTCTGTATATGCACCCTTAAGTGTAATCTGCCCTCTCAGAAATATTTTTCTTGTGATGAAGATCTCTAACTGTTTATGCAGACTGCCAATCATTTCATGACTAAGGCTTGAAACTAAAAATTCTAGGATCGTTTTCTCGGCGGGAAACGATGAGCTCACGATTGAAACGGACGGTGTCAAAAATTTCCAAAAACGAGCACGGGCCATGGCATGTTTCCTCTATGCACGATGTCTTGATCAAGGACTGGGAGTAGTGCAAGATAAACAGTTGGCCCAGCGACTTTATTCCGAGGTAAGTGTACATTAACCCGGCAACCCAAATCCATTGACCAAAGCACAGCAAGTTCGTTTTTCGCAGTGTGTGGCTTCGGTAATACTACCTGTGTAAGGCTGATTACTTCATATTACTGTGATCCAAGTAACCACACTAACTGAGGATTAAGACATCTTCCTCGTCTAAGTACGTGATACGATAAAATCGGTTGTTTGCTCTAGGAACACGTGCGCGCGATTTGGTGCACACATCTTTGCGTAAAGCGCTATCATGAGTGATTCCTCCACTACTTTAAAAGCTGGTTTGGCACGTCCGAACCGAAGTCATGTTCTTCATATCACCCAGCTACGACAGTACATCGGTACGACCGAACCACACAATGGGAAATGCGTCATGTATGTGTTCTTCCTCAGGGTTTGGTGCAGAGAGACTATCTGAGCTGGCACGAAAAGAACGTTGTTTTGGTAATGAGTGTTGGTAATGGACACGACCAACCGAACCGGTCCCTTCTTGCCAGCATAACAATCTCTAGCCTTGGTTGCAGATGCCCGAAACAGCATCATGGTGTTTAAAGGCCCCACCGTCAAATTCGAAGTTAACTCTTTGTACGATGTCAGATCAAATCACTGTCATTAGAGAGCTCTGAATCAAAATAACAGGTACGAATAAAATCACGTAAAAGTCAGCTGTCCAATGGGTGGGTGAGCTGTAAACTAAAGAACTAATATCAATAGGAAATAGCTTTTAAGGAAACACCAAAGTATTCTCCAGCCACTGAAGAAAGCGGCATTTTCTTTCTGGGCCCAAAAGTTTCACTAAACGACGTATTGCATTGCGTTAGGCTGGATTGTTCATCCACATATCTGGAATTGAAGGGGTATCTTCATTTTGTATTTTGGGGGCATCGCGCGCTCGCATGTTTATATTCACCATGGGCTTCAGGTAGAGGTCTGCTATTTCAGGTTCAAAGTAACCGCATGGTCAACGACATAGGATACAAGCTGACTTCCGCTTTAAAGCGTGTTTGTACTGTAGCCTAACTACGTCTAATACCGACAACCAAAACACTTACTCCGTACAGACATGAAATTTCAATGTCCCTCATATAGTCCACTAGTTTTCCTGGAGCTGCGGAAACGCAAGCAGGACGGAGAACTGTCCAGCGGAACACGTGGCAGAACGTACTTTGAATTCCGATTATTATTATCCGTAGTCGTCCGAATATAATCAATGTAACAACCGTCAGACCAGGGGTCAACTCGCAATGCTGCATCATCGATAGCTAAACATATGCTAAACATAGGCTAATAAATCGACCGACCGAACTTATTCCCGGTCTTGCTTAGCAACGCAGCACCCCCGGGTGACGCTCTAATGTGCAAATTGTGCCAGTCCCGACAAAGTGCACGACAAATGTTGAACCAAACGATTTGCTTTGATCTGGTACCGGTCAGGTAACTTGTAGGCTGTTTGGCTTTGCTTCTACGATTTTTGTCTTTAATCCGCATGCTCACGACTGCAGTTCGTACAAAAAAATTGGCAGAACAAAGCATATATCTTCATTCAATGAATCTTTAAACATCTTGGAACATGAACCTGATTTTTGTCAGCTTGTACACAGTTAATGACTATTACACCCGTTTGTTCGCCTTCGACAGGTTCTTTTAAGATTGCCATCAATCTATTACTCAAGGGCGCTTGTTCGCATGCTGAACTTTAGAACGTCTTGCAACTAGGTCTGAAACTTGTGCTTATAGTCACCTTGATGTATGATTACCAAACGTGTATTCAGATGTGGTTGAATGCTTCATCTACGCAAAAGAATGAATCTTGAATATCTATAATTATTTACATTTTGAATGCATCTGAGGAAAATGCGTTGACATTTTTAGACCAGGGTTTCTTTACTTCGCAATAGTGAGTCTCTTGAATGTATAGATAGATGTTGTCTTACTAGTGTTGGTCCACGCGTGTTTAAAGGCCAGTCGGCCCTGTATGGCGATTATTTCTGTGTTAAGAACTGAAACTGGTATGCATCTAACGAACGTTTGATAATGCATTCTCGGCGACTCAGTGGAGAATGCCACAGCACTTAATGATGTGTCATTGTCAAACATTTGTCGTCATTCTCGCTACTCAAAATATCAGTAAATACTCCGAGGTTAACCAGGCAGATTGCAACCGGAAAATCCAGTTGAGGCCCCTGTTCTACAGACAAAACTCACTTCTCTATTTGACGATTACGATTCGCTTGTCAACTAAGTGAACTACTTTCGTGAAGCTAGTTGGTTATTCCTCATTTTCCCAAATCACTTAGGAAGTATCTGGTTTCCCGATTAGTTTATATCCGGGATATTTACATGAATTCTCACAGGCGGTCGAACCTAACGGCAATCCTGTTGTCTGAGCTAATCTACGGGCTACCGTTACTTTTCATATTGTTTTTGTAGATAGGACCAATAGAGAATAGGGCGGTCAACGTTGAAATCAGATAACCAAATCACCACGATCCACATGCACCAATGAGGTGAAATCAGGGTGAACATGTGACAAATTACATCTGCACTTCTTATACTGTTCTGTTCAATTAAATAGTAACATAATTAAAAAGCTCAAGAAGAGTTTAGTATGTCTCTTCCGAGAATACCTTAGCAAATCTAATCTGTTTTGATGAGCTTCGATTCCGCGGCGGGATGTTAGTTAACTTTAGCTCTTTTCAATTTCTTGGTGAGACACGAAATTGAGCCATCTCCCACAACGCCTCACATATGTAAAAAGTAATGGAATGATGTCGTTCCATTTTTTTTCAGGCTATTCACTATGACTTAGCGCTAATTGCATGTTACGAGCGCATGGTCCAGCATGACGAACTTTGAGGCCCTTCTACTTGTCACCGTGGATTTCTCCCTAATTTTTCTCACTAACGGCGTATTTTTGGGTTTTGGATTATTTTTTGTGTACCAAATATTGCAAGAAAAAGTGAGCACAAACGACTCTTCTTGATGTACCGTGCAGAAATCCAATCCATTACTTGACACCACTTGAAGTACTCAGCAAACGAACGTTGTGAATCGAGTAGTTGGCGTTATGTTTTCATTTGCACCATGAAATGTCGAGTTGCCAAACAATCACTTGCAAATTCGCGTCACTAATGAGCAGGTGCTGCATGACGAAGGTTATATTTCAACTACTTTACCGCTCAACACCCGCTCCATGGTCGGTAATACTAATAATGACTGTTTAGCTGCAACACCCTTTTGATGGCTAGCTTCCATGTCACCCAAACGAAGCACGAGAGCTGGGATACTGCCAGGTTGCACAGGCTCAGACAGGGAAGTCGAGAGGCGTAGGCCGGGCTCGAACAACGAACCTTTCTCTCAGTGAATTCGCGCTCAAAAAACACCAAACTCCTGGACAGTACGCCAAAAGCCTTGCCACCATAGCAAGTGTCAGGGAGCACAAAATTTGAATTCTAGCTAAATAATACCATAAGTTGAAACTGATTTGGACCAAACAAGGTCAAAAAACGGTTTTCAAACTAAGGCAGTATAATGACTGAAAAACAAGAAACCGTACTCGATATTTCTTACGGCACATGACGCACGAATTTCGTCTGGCAGTTCAGTCACTTGGATTCTTCCACGATAGGATAGGACTCTTGGTTCCACAAAACCTATGTTTTAGTAGACACCCAATATATATATATATATATATATGCAGTAAAAGGAAACTAAGTGTCAATAACCCAAAAGATTTTAAACGTCAAAAATATGAAGATACAGAGTAACTTTTCATTGAAACCATACACTTCTGTAGAGGTCAGTTGCTACTCTTCAAAACATTTACTGAACAGTTAAATGACACAAACCTGTACAAATGTCTCCAGGTAATTCATAAATATAATCGCTTTTTGTATAGTTGCTGCCAGTGATAACTCGGAAATGTCCACGTTTCGCGAGGCTGGCGTTATTCCACACTTTGATTATTTATCCCCTTCTAGTGTGAGCATCATTGAGAAAGTGAACCTCGTTCGTTCCGAAAAGTATTCGCTTATGAGGAAAAGGCACCACAACTGATTTTCATCCTTTCAGTCATCGGCACCGACTTTTGGCTGACTAATCTACCAAACTTTTAAGTTTGAGTATATTTTGGCACTTAACTGAGACTAGCTAAACTTTCACAACCAAGTAGTTAAATTTCATCCCGACCATAAGATAAACTTCCTAAGTTCATACTGAGGGTCTGCTACGCCTGCTTCCAGAACTTTTCCTAGGTGTTCCAACTTCAGCGCGTACCTCACTCTGAGGGCCAGTTTAAAGATAAAAATAATTCTCACGTGTTGTCTACTCTGAGTTGGGTTTCAAGCACATATGGCGGCACAATGTTGTCGCTGGAGAAACCCACATAATTTACCCATACTTTCTGAAGGTAGCTTCGTTTCCCGGGGACGAAAGCGTGGTTGGAGTATGGAAACGCTCATTAAATTGACACATGAATATCATGTTCTTCAATTGCGGCGTGGCATAGGTTTAAAACCATTAATGAAAAACTAAGCCTCCATTCCCGACCGGCAGCCTAAAGCTCCGTCCAGCAAAGATTTCTCTGTTTCATTTAAGAAGCCCTCAAAGATCGAAACACTAGAAGGTTTGCCTTATGCAGTTCACACCTGCGCGACATTGTTGTGCTCGTCCAACAACGAATGACGTGACCTAAGTCCCCTTGGAACAGCAGGGTTGATTTGATGTTGAACCAAACGTCCTATGGCAATATCACTGTTATTTTCGGTAATATCTTAGAACCACGGTGTTTGGGAGTTGTTCAACATGATGAGAAAGATATTTTTTCAGTTAACCGCCCGATTTTATGGGTACACCTTACTGGTTAGTAAGACGGTTGATCAGTCTTTCGGACGGGGTTGTCTCTACAGTAAAGCGCCTCACAATAATGCATGGGTTCCAAAAATTTGAAATACTGAGTCAGAATACAAAAATCGCCTCACGAGTGAGGTGAGGATTTTACCATTCGAGATACTCTGGAATGTTGAGGAGAGGCCAGACGGGACCGGCATAACCAGTAGAGCTGCCGAAGAGTGGTAATAATCCATTTTTGAGTGTAGCGTCTACGGCTTATATGAAATAGACTGGAAGACGTCTATGGAATCAAAAGACACTCTTGAGAGATATGAAGAACGAAAGAGATTTCAAAATCAAGTTTTATGTTTCAGACTAAAGTAATGTGAGACTACACACTGCGACAAACCATTGGCTCAACCTATCACACAACTGATCGTGATCTTGAGACGCAGTGCCAGTTTGTTTATCCAACGATGGCTCATAAGCCATACCTTCGCCCCCTGTCGTCTTACTGCCCGTTTTTCCGAACGTTTGACCCAGCTGAAGTGGTATCGAGGTCGTTCTCTGTTGGTTCGACTTAGTTCTTCCCTATGATAAATGTTTAGCTTTGTGGATGGTCATGAAGACAGTGAAAGTGCGTTTGACCCTCGTATGACGGGTTTTGATCAAAATAACTCAAACGGATCAGGTGAACAGGACCCCGTACTATTGATATTGTTTGTCTAGAATGTGACAACAAAAGTAACATTATTTTGCAACAGCCTGAGGGAGCTTACTCGTCATCGGAAGCTGTAGTAGTGATTTATGCATATTCAGGTCGCTCTAAAAACGTTGGTTTTGACTGACTTAACCTAGGAATTCGACACTTGATGCGCATGCTGTGTCACTATTAAGCAGACTTGGAAAACTCAGTGTTGCCCCCATTTGTAGTAGCGTGTGTTTTTAGTCAACCCTCTTTACCAAGCGATTGAAACAAAGTTAAAAATATATACCACCACATCCACTTGATGAATACATATCAGGAAAATGCTCCTAGTGAATTGCTTTCACAGAGACGACGCGTCTGATTTGCGGCTAACTCCTTCGAAATATCCATTTCTTATTGAGTGATGATTCCGTTTATTTGATATTCTAGTTCACAGCAAATATCGACGCATGTGCCGAATCAAGCCAAGTCCATTTGAGGAACGAGGGTATTTGGAGGATATTTTGCCACTTCACTTTGTCCTCTACGATTTTTCCTAATGGAAACGCTCGTCTTTGCTTAATCGACATTACCTTGCTAAAACCTAGCATCCAGAGCGTACGGATGCCTAATTGAATGCCAATCAACTAACTTGGATTAACTGAATTACCTACAGTCAGTTGGTGTCTTGCGGTCGACGGCTTCGGGTTTCTGTTGACCAACTTGACCCTTGCTGACTGCTGTCTCATTTCGGACATCAGTGAAAATCAGCTACTTTAGATAATATGTTCGGAATGGTGGTGAGCTCATTGCAAGAGCTTACCTTTGGAAAATCCGGAACGCAAGTTTTGATAACCATGGCGTCATGGTTCACTCGATCCAGTGTAGTTCCCTGTCGATAGTACATATAGCTACCGAATATGGCCTGCGTAGCAACCAGCAACTATCTGGGTTAACCTGCCATAAAGATTTGCCCGTTCTTTCTATTAAATTACTTACCAACGGGCAATGTTTTCTTGAAAATATGCTGTGGCTGCAATCCCCAACGTCCACGTTAATTATAAATAATATGCTCAAGTGTGTGTTAAGCAGGATGTAGCAAAATGATACTTGATGCCTGTTCATAATAATGTCATACATAATGTCCTCTGATGATCACCGAACTTGGCATAACCAGTATTTTGGGCCCTGAAGCGGTTGAGTGAGCATGCTGAATTCACAGCACTCAAAGAAATTGTTAGAACGTTTTTTGTAAAGAGAAATTATTATAATAGAATCAACTTTAAGGATAAGTGTTGCAACGATCTCTTCCTATAGGATGTACTCTCATGAGAGAGTCCTTCATCAGAAGCCTTGAAGCTCATTTTAGGAGGAAAGTAGAACTTCGAACAACAAAGCCACAAATATGGCAACTTCTGTAACCCGTAGTGCGTGTGACACTAGCTAATGTTTGTTTAGGTAAACCCATAGATTCGAGGCCATTAGCTTCTTCTTTTTCTTAGCCAAAAAGTGGAATGCATTCTAGAGTTTTGAAAAAACACATAACACACAGAAAGGCACATTTGTAGCTGTACCAAACGACCAAAGGGAGCGGAAACAATGCACACCTTTGTAATAATTGTATTGATGAAAGCACGTTCATCTTATGATCACTGTTATGAACATTTACTCCCCAATTGGAAATCCATCATTGTGTTACGCCTATAGCGTGTACAGTAGTGCCATGCTAATAGAAACCTTCCATCTTGGTGAGTTTAGTTTTACGCGCCTCACGTTTCAACCGTTGTCATTACGTCCTACACATGTCTGGGCGTTTCGCTTGTACTATTAATGACAACACACCCTAGATTTACTAACTGAGAAGTCATTAAATACTGTGCTGGTTATCTGACTGTGTTTTTCAACTTTCTTAAGTAGTGATAAGCTTTTTGCTGCTAGTATTTGCACGGTATCCCCGCACGCCCTATCAGTTTGTCTGCACTTGAGCTATGTAAATTATCTTTACTTTTCAGCTGCTTTTTAGTGCCTTATTGAACTATTGTCTTTGATCACCAGCTACATTTCTCGTTACTTCGAAACAAAAGGCAGCTCAGCTGGAAGGTAGCGCACCACTATGATTGAGACTTCAATTTGAAACAGCAGTTGTAACAGCACATAAAGATACTCAAACGAATCGCTGATGAGGCAGACAATTGCTCCGACTTTTTCAAAGAGATCATTCGGCTATCTGCACTGAATTGAGCGCAAGCAGTTTTCTGGATACCAAAGGATTAATGAAAAACTTACTCATTTTGATGAAAGCGAAGCTCGGGCAAGAACGACGTATGTGCAGCAAAAAACAAGAGCTGTAACGTTAAACTGAATGATTGCAGTGGCTTGGTCGTCCCATATGTAGAAAAAAACCCTGGTTAATG